CTGTGTGTTCACGAATATCCTTTCCACCTAAAGTTAAAGTGCACGAACGAGAAAACAATAAACAATGACGGATAGTGAAGTCCTCAGTACACAGACTGAAACATGGAACAAAAACCCACAACCCTAAGGTGAACACTGACAGTTTAAATATGGCTCCCAATCAGAGATAACGAGCCGACAGCTGACACTCGTTACCTCCGATTGGGAGTCACATGACGAGACAAGACACTACAACCAAAACCAAACACAACCAAATGAACACACCCTATACCCAACACAACCAAATGAATACACCCTGGCTCAAACTACACAGTCCCGGAGCCAGAGCGTGACAGTACCCCCCCCTAAAGGCGCGGACTCCGACCGCGCCTACACCCCAAAATAGGGGAGGGCTGGGTGGGTGTTGCTCCTCGGAGGCGGCTCCGGCTCCGGGCTTGACCACCACCCCACTTCACTCCCCCCGTAGTGCCCCCGGTCCGATCTGACCCAGCTTGCTGGATCAGGACCTCCGACGCGCACCCCTGGCTTGGCGCGTGAGGTAGGAATGGACCGGAACTGGCAGACGATACGCACCCTTTGCCTGGTGCGTGGAGCCGGAACAGGCCTCACCAGGCTGAAGACTCGCATCCCTGGCTTGGTGCGAGTAGCAGGAATGGGCTGGATCAGGCTGACGGCTCGCACCCTTGGCTTGGTGCGAGTAGCAGGGACGAGCTGAACCAGGCTGACGACTCGCACCCTTGGCTTGGTGCGAGTAGCAGGAACGGGCTGGACCAGGCCGACGACTCGTACCCCTGGCTTGGTGCGAGTAGCAGGAACGGGCTGGACCAGGCTGACGACTCGCACCCTTGTCTTGGTGCGAGTAGCAGGAACGGGCTGGACCAGGCTGGCGACTCGCACCCCTGGTTTGGTGCGAGTGGCAGGAACAGGCCGGGCTGGGCTGGCGACGCACACCTTAGCCTTAGTACGTGGAGCAGGAACAGGCCGGGCTGGGCTGGCGACGCACACCGTAGGCTTCGTACGTGGAGCAGGAACAGGCCGGGCTGGGCTGGCGACGCACCCCGTAGGCTTGGTGCGTGGAGCAGGAACTGGCCGGGCTGGGCTGGCGACGCACACCGTAGGCTTCTTACGTGGAGCAGGAACAGGCCGGGCTGGGCTGGCGACGCACACCGTAGGCTTTGTGCGTAAAGCAGGAACAGGCCGGGCTGGGCTGGCGACGCACCCCGTAGGCTTGGTGCGTGGAGCAGGAACAGGCCGGGCTGGGCTGGCGACGCACACCGTAGGCTTCTTACGTGGAGCAGGAACAGGCCTCACCGGACTGTGGAGACGGATAGGAGACCTGGAGCGAAGAGCGGCCACCACCCGTCCTGGCTGGATGCCTACCCTCACACACTCTGCGTGAGGCATCCGCACAGGACGTACAGGGCTGTGAACCCGTACCGACATGACAGCACGCGATACGGGAGCAGGATATCCGGGACCGCGGAGAGGCACTGGAGACCTCGAGCGTAGATCCGGCACACTCCGTCCTGGCTGCATCCCCCCTTCGCACGACACGTGCGGGGTGCTTGCACAGGACGTACAGGACTGTGCCGGACCACTCGTGGCACAGTACGCTGCTCCGCATACCGCGGAACCTGCCCCGTCTCATGCTGCCATGCCTGAGTACGGGAAGTTGGTTCCGCTCTACCTCCAGGCCTCGCCAACCTGCCTTCTGCCTCCCAACACCCAGTGACCACCTCTCCAAAACGTCCTGTAGCAGCCGCCTGCTGCCCAGCCGCCCAAGCCATGTGCCCCCCCCCAAATTTTTTTTGGGGTTGCCTCTCTTCCATCCGACGATGGACCTGCTGACGCCGTTGCTCCTCTCCTGCCAGGTTCTCCCCCTTCATCGCCCTCCGGTACCGGACGGCCTCCTCCTGCGTAATATGTCCCCAGCCGAGGAGGACATCCACCAGCGTTCTCTCCTGCGGGTGTTCCTGTATACGCTGCTTGGTCCTTTTGTGGTGGGTTTTTCTGTCACGGCCGTCTACGGAAGGACATTCAGCGTGTACAAAAAAAGATGTATTAGTTGTGATTCGCTAAAAGAGACATAGCAACGAATTGCGTGAACAATGCATATTTTATATTATTATTATTATTAAATGTTAAATTACAGTACAATAACAAATCAAAATAGGGCATTAGTATAAGTATAATGTTTTCTTAAGAAACAAAATTAAATTAAATTAAAGCAAATAAACAAAAAACAACAAATAAAAATCACTACACGTGAATTGCAGTTTCAAAAGTTAAAGTACCTAAAATAAAATAAATGGAATAAGGTCAGGGGTTACAATTGAATAAACCTATTATAGAGTTGTAAGAATACATTTTTTGTTGACTAATTCTATACATTTTATTAAATAGTAAATATCAATAAAAAATATATTGCATTTGGGGACAGATTTCAAATGTTTGTTTTTGTATATGTAAAATTGACCAGAGGGAATGAAAAAATTAACTAATTCAGTAGCTTTGTTTTCATTTCAATAATAACATATTACATCTTTAATTGTAAATACATGGGCCTTATTAATGAAATAAAAAAATGTAATTACTTAGCCCGCTCCAAAATAACAGTCACACATAAAACATTTGTATAATAGTTTCCCCTTCTTTATCACAAAAAAGGCAGATGTCCTCTAAGTCCATGAATTTAGACAACACGTTATTACAGGGGTATATTTTGTGCAAGTTTTTAAAGTGAACTTCTTTTACTTTATTTGATATACAACATTTGTGAGGGAGCAACCAAGCTTTCTTCCATTCAATTTCAGTAATATGTGCGTTCCAGAAGAATTTCCCTCTAGGAGAGATCTTGTTCTTGGAGTGAAAAAGTTCCCTTAAGAATGTATTATTAAATGTCTTATCCAGCAGGGGGCAACATTCTAACAAATTTTATATATTGAAATGTTCTCCAAAACACAAATTAGATTTAATTGAGTAAATCCTGAAGGTATTGATTTGCATATAAATAGAATTACATTATTTATCATGCATTGGGAAGTTATATGTTTCTAAAAATGTTCTATAAGTGAGTATATTCCCGTCTTTATCAAAAATTCAAGATCAATTATAATATTTTTTCAAACCACTTAGAGAAGAATAAAGAGTTGTTTTTAACAACAATATCTTTGTTGTTCCACATAAGTGTTTTGTATGAGGAGAAGTTGTGGACATAGCATAGTTTCCAGGCTAAAAGAGCTTGTTCGTGAAATTTGGACAATTTGATGGGTAATTTTACTGGAGAATAGTTGCACTTCCAAATAAATTGAATACCACCCAATTTCTTAAAAATATGACAATGCATGTTGTGACATTTCAAGAATGACGTCGTAGATTGGTTACTTTTTACAGTCTAATGCCACGTTCAAAGCACCTGGGAACTCAGAAATATCTGCTTCTGACTTCAGTCCGTTCACGACAACTGGGAACTCGAAAAAATACTAGCTCGAACCATGACGTCAGTGATCTTCAGGTCGGAAAGTCAGAGCTCTCGAAAGAGGCCCGAGTTGGATTACCGTTCTAATCGATTTTTCCCAGTCGGAGTTCGTTTTTCCCGAGTTCCCAGTTGTGTTGAACACACCATTATTCTCTAGCACGAAGCGGTAGATAGTGTAAATCCAGCTAGCTAGCTACTTTGTCGTAACTGATATCGCTGGCTGTCTCACGCTTCCAAATTAGCTTTTCTTTTCAATATTTAACATTTCTTCTTTGGTGGCCACCCAACCAACAAAACTGAAGTTCTTTTAGTAAAGGTAAGTGTGCAATTTTCTCACAAATTAGCATCAGTTTATCCAAAATGGCTACCCGATGCAAGCTAGCTAGTCTCGCCAGCTGATTACTGCATAAAATGGCGTCGTGGTGGAATAAAATGGTCATGTTTTAATGCTACCATGCGGTTACCGGCGTTTTATCGACATATATTGAAACAGTACGAACAACTTTGTTTTACACAAATGAATGACACATGACCAGCAGTTGAACACAATATACAGAACATGACACTTCCTACTAGCTAACTAACTCGAGGCTACGTTCAATGTATGCTAGCTTGCGGGTTAGTTAACGTTAGAGTTAGCATGAGCTAACGTTAAGTAGCTAGTATCACCAATTTCTGATATCACGTTACCAAAGCGGGTACATACTTGTTTTATTTAGCATTTTATCATTTTTCAAGATAATCCATCCACCTGACGGTGTGGCATATCAAGAAGCTGATTAAACAGCATGATCATTACACAGGTACACCTTGTGCTGGGGACAAAAGGCCACTCAATAAAATGTGTGGTTTTGTCACAACACAATGCCACAGATGTCTCAAGTTGAGGGAGCGTGCAATTCTCATGCTGACTGCAAGAATGTCCACCAGAGCTGCTGCCAGAGAATTTAACATAGATGTCTCTACCATAAGCCGCCTCCAATGTCTTATTGGAGAATTTGGCAGTATGTCCAACCGGCCTCACAGCAACAGACCACATCATGTGTGGGAGAGCAGTTTGCTGATGTCAACGTTGTGGACAGAGTGCCCAATGGTGGTGGTGGGGTTATGGTATGGGCAGGTATAAGTTACGGACAACGAACACAATTGCATTTTATCAATGGCAATTTTAATGCACAGAAATATTGTTAAGGCCCATAAAAAAAAAAAAAAAAATAGTTATGTGACCAACATATGTATATCTGTATTACCAGTCATTTGAAATCCATAGATTAGAGCCTAATGAATTTATTTCAATTGACTGATTTCCTCATATGAACTGTAACTCAGTAAAATCAATGAAATTGTTGCATGTTGCGTTTATGTTTTTGTTCAGTGTAATTAAAGTTAGCTAGCTACCTTGTCGTTGTACATGACAAAGGCAGCAGTTGAATCCATCTTAGTTTAATAGATCTTGTCATTTTTGGTAACTAATGAAACTCATGATACTAATGTATGATCCATATTTTTCTCTCCTACAGCACAGTTTTCCCCACCCCTCCCTGTTATTATTATTCTTTTAAAGATTCATCTCTGTCAAGCCGCCAAAGTGGAGAGTGTGATTGCAGTAGGGGGTGCTTCTCGTTTCAGGTATGTTCTTCCCTCAATAGGAATCCCTTTAGAAATTGAAGGGACATTTCCAAATACTGACACACTGGGTTTTCATCAAGCAGGATCCTCTTTGCTGTGGCATTTGTACCTCATACCCCACTCGTCATGGATCAGTATGTTGTTTTTCTGAAGAAAAAAAAGGTCCCTGACTCCTTATAATGTCTGATATTGTAGCTATTACAGCATAGTACAGCAATCCAACAGCATCGTCTCTGTACCACAGATGACCAACCAACCAACCAGGTAATCTAGTAGCCTTGATTATCAAACTATACTACATGACCAAAAGTATGTGAACACCTGCTCGTCGAACATCTCATTCCAAAATCATGGGCATTAATATGCAGTTGGTCCCCCTTTTGCTGCTATATCAGCCTCCACTGCTGGGTAGGCTTTCCATTAAATGTTGGAACATTGCTGCGGGGACTTGCTTCCATTCATCCACAAGCGCATTAGTGAGGCCGGGCACTGATGTTGGGCGATTAGGCGTGGCTCGCAGTCGGCGTTCCAATTCATCCCAAAGGTGTTTAATGGGGTTGAGGTCAGGGCTCTGTGCATGCCAGTCAAGTTCTTCCACACCGATCTCGACAAACCATTTCTGCATGGACCTCGCTTTGTGCACGGGGGCATTGTCATGCTGAGGAAAGGGCCTTCCCCAAACTGTTGCCACAAAGTTGGAAGCACAGAATCCTCTATAATGTCATTGTATGCAGTAGCATTAACATTTCCCTTCACTGGAACTAAGGAGCCTGAACCATGGAATACAGCCCCAGACCATTATTCCTCCTCCACAAAACGTTATAGTTGGCACTGTGCCTTGCGGCAGTTAGCGTTCTCCTGGCATCCGCCAAACCCAGATTCGTCCGTCGGACTGCCAGATGGTGAAGCTGGATTAGTCGCTCCAGAGAACGCGTTTCCACTGCTTCAGAGTCCAATGGCGGCGAGCTTTATACCACTCCAGCCAACGCTTGGCATTGCGCATGGTGATCTTAGGCTTGTGTGCGGCTGCTTGGCCATGGAAACCCATTTCATGAAGCTCCCGACAAACAGTTATTGTGCTGACATTGCTTACAGAGGCAGTTCGGAACTCGTTAGTGAGTGTTTCAACCGAGGACAGACAGTTTTTACGCGCTTCAGCACACAGCAGTCCCATTCTGTGAGCTTGTGTGGCCTACCACTTCGCGGCTAAGCCGTTGTTGCTCCTAGACGTTTCCACTTCACAAATACAGCACTTACAGTTGACCGGGGCAGCTCTAGCAGGGCAGACGTTTGACAAACTGACTTGTTGGAAAGGTGGCATCCTATGACGGTGCCACTTTGAAAGTCGCTGAGCTCTTCAGTAAGGCCATTCTACTGCCAATATTTGTCCATGGAGGTTGCATGGCTGTGTGCTCGAATTTTATGCACTTGTCAGCAACGGGTGTGGCTGAAATAGCCGAATCCACTATTTTGAAGGGTTGTCCACATACTTTTGTGTCTATATAGTGTATCTACGAAACTAGGACATGTCACTTGACATTGATGTCATCCAAGGCTTTAGGGTCAGGTTAGGATGCAGTCAAACCACATTCACATTGAAAGCCATGGCCAAAAAAATGGCCTAAGCGGACACTGTATAACATAAAATAGTATAGCGTCGACTCTGGTAAGATTTTTCCAAATATGGAGAATGTTTGTGTTCAATGGGCCCTTTGTTAAGAATGGTGCAATGGTTTGTGGGTGGGTGCCACTTTGTAATGTCCTGAGCACCAACAATGTACCAAGCACCATTGATTTAGTAAGGGGTTGTAGCTACAGTATTAGGTGGTGCCTGCGTTGGTAAATGTACTGCTGCAATGAGTAGGCCTTCTCCTACTCTGAATGTGCACATTGTCGTACCAGACAGTGACACATTTTTTGCGTCCTCTCTGTATGTTGGCGATGGTAATCAGCAATGTTTATCAATAAAGATTTCAGGGTCACTGTTTCCCTTGCCACTACCATTTCGGATGTACTGATTTTGAATTCTGTACCACAGCCTGAGCTTTATGGATAACGGTAAAACCAGGGATGGCAATACTTAATTTCTCCCAATTTCCACCATTGTTTCACAGTCAATACTGCAATGAATCGTTATGACCTGGGAGCATACATTTATTTGGCCTCACTGGCTTACCCACCCAGGAGTAGATTACGTTATCCAAAGAATATGATCTGCCTACTGTGATAATTAGTAATAACGTATGTACAGTGGGGGGGGAAAGTATTTAGTCAGCCACCAACTGTGCAAGTTCTCCCACTTAAAAAGATGAGAGGCCTGTAATTTTCATCAATTACGTCAACTATGACAGACAAAATGAGAGAAAAAAATCCAGAAAATCACATTGTAGGATTTTTAATGAATTTATTAGCAAATTATGGTGGAAAATAAGTATTTGGTCAATAACAAAAGTTTCTCAATACTTTGTTATATACCCTTTGTTGGCAATGACACAGGTCAAACGTTTTCTGTAAGTCTTCACAAGGTTTTCACACACTGTTGCTGGTATTGTGGCCCATTCCTCCATGCAGATCTCCTCTAGAGCAGTGATGTTTTGGGGCTGTCGCTGGGCAACACGGACTTTCAACTCCCTCCAAAGATTTTCTATGGGGTTGAGATCTGGAGACTGGCTAGGCCACTCCAGGAGCTTGAAGTGCTTCTTACGAAGCCACTCCTTCGTTGCCCGGGCGGTGTGTTTGGGATCATTGTCATGCTGAAAGACCCAGCCACGTTTCATCTTCAATGCCTTTGCTGATGGAAGGAGCTTTTCACTCAAAATCTCACGATACATGGCCCCATTCATTCTTTCCTTTACACGGATCAGTCGTCCTGGTCCCTTTGCAGAAAAACAGCCCCAAAGCATGATGTTTCCACCCCCATGCTTCACAGTAGGTATGGTGTTCTTTGGATGCAACTCAGCATTCTTTGTCCTCCAAACACGACGAGTTGAGTTTTTACCAAAAAGTTCTATTTTGGTTTCATCAGACCATATGACATTCTCCCAATCCTCTTCTGGATCATCCAAATGCACTCTAGCAAACTTCAGACGGGCCTGGACATGTACTGGCTTAAGCAGGGGGACACGTCTGGCACTGCAGGATTTGAGTCCCTGGCGGCGTAGTGTGTTACTGATGGTAGGCTTTGTTACTTTGGTCCCAGCTCTCTGCAGGTCATTCACTAGGTCCCCCCGTGTGGTTCTGGGATTTTTTCTCACGGTTCTTGTGATCATTTTGACCCCACGGGGTGAGATCTTGCGTGGAGCCCCAGATCGAGGGAGATTATCAGTGGTCTTGTATGTCTTCCATTTCCTAATAATTGCTCCCACAGTTCATTTCTTCAAACCAAGCTGCTTACCTATTGCAGATTCAGTCTTCCCAGCCTGGTGCAGGTCTACAATTTTGTTTCTGGTGTCCTTTGACAGCTCTTTGGTCTTGGCCATAGTGGAGTTTGGAGTGTGACTGTTTGAGGTTGTGGACACGTGTATTTTATACTGATAACAAGTTCAAACAGGTGCCATTAATACAGGTAACGAGTGGAGGACAGAGGAGCCTCTTAAAGAAGAAGTTACAGGTCTGTGAGAGCCAGAAATCTTGCTTGTTTGTAGGTGACCAAAGACTTATTTTCCACCATAATTTGCAAATAAATTCATAAAAAATCCTACAATGTGATTTTCTGGATTTTTTTTCCTCAATTTGTCTGTCATAGTTGACGTGTACCTATGATGGAAATTACAGGCCTCTCTCATCTTTTTAAGTGGGTAGGTGGGAGAACTTGCACAATTGGTGGCTGACTAAATACTTTTTTCCCCCACTGTAGTTCTAGGCTGATTCCTCACCGTTCTCATGATCATTGCAACTCTACGAGGTGAGATCTTGCATGGAGCCCCAGGCAGAGGGAGATTGACAGTTCTTTTGTGTTTCTTCCATTTGTGAATAATCGCACCAACTGTTGTCACCTTCTCACCAAGCTGGTTGGCGATGGTCTTGTAGCCCATTCCAGCCTTGTGTAGGTCTACAATCTTGTCCCTGACATCATTGGAGAGCTCTTCGGTCTTGGCCATGGTGGAGAGTTTGGAATCTGATTGATTGATTGCTTCTGTGGACAGGTGTCTTTTTATACAGGTAACAAGCTGAGGTTAGGACCACTCCCTTTAAGTGTGCTCCTAATCTCAGCTCGTTACCTGTATAAAAGACACCTGGGAGCCAGAAATCTTTCTGATTGAGAGGGGGTCAAATACTTATTTCCCTCATTAAAATGCAAATCAATTTATAACACTTTTGACATGCATTTTTCTGGATTTTGTTTTTGTTATTCTGTCTCACACTGTTCAAATAAACCTACCATTAAAATTATAGACTAATTTCTTTGTCAGTGGGCAAACGTACAAAATCAGCAGGGGATCAAATACTTTTTTCCCTCACTGTAGATGTTGCGCTGCATGAGGCAAATGGTGGTCACACTAGATACTGACTGGTTTTCTAATCCACGCCCCTACCTTTAAAAAAAAAACATATCTGTGACCAACAGATGCATATCTGTATTCCCAGTCATGTGAAATCCATAGATTAAGGCCTAATTTATTTATTTCAATTGACTGATCTCCTTATATGAACTGTAACTCAGTAAAGTCTTTGAAATTGTTGGATGTTGCGTTTTATATTTGTTCAGTGAATATCCAGATTAATCTAGACAGTAACTATAGCTTGAAGGCTATAGTCCTAGATGAATAGATGCCAACGGAGCCTTGTATCCAAATATAAGGATGACAATGTATTGACTTATCTTGGGGAACCAACCATATGTTGCTTAAATCACAATCAACAGTTTTTTAGCTTACACTTACAGGACATGAATGACCTATGGAGGGGGGTGTGAAGCTGCTATCAACTCTTTCAATTAGTTAAACATGTACAATTCCTGTGCAATGCTCTTGCATACTCAATGTTGTTCTCCGTTTACCCTAACAGTGCTTCTTCGGGGGGAGGTGTTGGTAGGGGTGCACCTCAGCACTATCCCAAGACTGTCGGCAACAGGTAGGCCTACCACACAGGCATGATTCCCAGAAATCATCCTAAGGGATCCACAAATAATAAATACTGGGAACAGGAGCCATCTGCCCTGTTTCAGCTAAAAGGCATTTTTGTATGTGAACTGGAGGGTTATGTGTCTGAGTGGAATTGATGCTCTTTAGAATGATAAACGTCATCCTCAGTGTGTTTGCTCTCCAGCATTGTAGTTGTGATTTGCTGTCACCTGTATGTAGTACTGGTGGTGTATGATCACTTAGTGCCATAGCTCAACAAAGTCTCCTTTCTGTTACTCCAGCGAGTTCCTGGGGAAAACCCCCGGGCACAGCGCTCCGAAATGGGTTCCTTCACGAAGCACTAGACGAGATGCCAACTCCAGCAACGAAAAAGAGCGACACGATGCAATCTTCAGGAAAGTGAGAGGGTAAGTGTCAAGAAATGCAATTTGGCCGCCTCAGATGTTTTCAGTGTGTCTGGTTTGGTTTTATGCTCTGTGTCCTTGCCGCCTGCATGAGCACATTATTCTCTATCAGATGTTTACAAGAGCAGACCACTGCAACTTTTATTTGGCTAACAAGCGACTCTTGTTGCTTTCTCAACCCCTCTTGATTATGCATGTACCCCTGTTCTCTTTCCCCTCTCTTTTTCCCCGCTCCTCCTTTTCCTCTTTAGCATACTCAACAAGCTCACGCCTGAGAAGTTTGACAAGCTATGCCTTGAGCTCCTGAATGTGGGCGTAGATACAAAACTCGTCCTTAAAGCAATCATCTTGCTGGTAAGTATGCCTCTTATTTTTTTTCCTGTTAACCGTCTGCTCTTTGCAAATGTATTCCATAATTTCCTGGCATCCTCCATGTATAACTGATGCTTTAATGGCTTTTTAAAATATCATTTTTTCCCCCCTCTCCTCCCTCCCATCTAGATTGTAGACAAAGCCCTAGAAGAGCCGAAGTATAGCTCACTCTATGCTCAGCTATGTCTGCGTTTGGCAGAGGACGCACCAAACTTTGATGGCCCTTCACCCGAGATCCAAACATCCCAAAAGCAGAGCACTGTAAGCATCAAGTTTAGATACCGTGTTTTTATTCTCCCTGTATTTTCTGCACGGTTATGTCTTTGAATCTAGTTGTGTGGTAATCTGTATATGCTGTACGATAGCGTAGAACCAACTCTGGTCTCCTCTTCTTTATGTCCCAAGTGCCTGTTTAGAATGTAACTGGTCCTGATGTTCAATCTCAAATGTTGTCCTGATTTTTGCAGACCTTCAGAAGACTTCTCATTTCCAAGCTTCAAGATGAATTTGAAAACCGCAGCAGAAATGTCGAAAGTGAGTACTAATACTCCCCTACACGGCTCCTTTGGGAAAAGGCCCACCACCAGTCCACTCATGGACTCCCTATTGTACTTGTACTAACTTGATGTTTTCCTTCTACTAGTCTATGACAAACATGACAACCCTCTTACTACTGAGGAGGAGGAGCAGCGTGCCATTGCCAAGATCAAGATGCTTGGCAACATTAAATTCATCTCGGAACTTGGCAAACTCAACCTTATCCATGAATCTATCCTTCATAAGTGCATCAAAACAGTATGTTCAACCATTTCAGTCTAGTTCTTTTGGATTTAGTTTTGCGTAACTTTTTATCATTGTTTGACAACTTCAGATACAACTTTGTGTCCAGTTGAGTTCTGCTTTGCTTGGCAATCTTTATCGTTCACCTTTCTACTGGCACAGGTCCCTGATGCCACTTGTATAAAACTGTCATCCTCCTCTCCCCAGCTTTTGGAAAAGAAGAAGAGAGTCCAGCTCAAGGATATGGGGGAGGATCTGGAGTGCCTCTGTCAGATAATGAGAACAGTGGGGCCTAGACTCGACCATGAAAAAGCTAAGGTACATTCTCTTGTCCCTATCAGTCTGTCTGCTGTCATCCCTACGGCCTGTATGTCTGTCTCTCTCTCTGTCATGACACAGCTCTTCATCTCTCCCCCAGTTTGAAATGTATCAGTATTTTGGCCAAATGTGCCGGTGTGTGAGAGAATGTGTCTTATCTCCTAACACCACTGTCCATCTCTGCCCTACAGTCTTTAATGGACCAGTACTTTGGCCGTATGTTATCCTTAATGAACAACAAGGAGTTGCCCGCCAGGATCCGCTTCCTGCTGCAGGACACGGTGGAGCTGCGAGACAACAACTGGGTTCCCCGCAAAGCTTTCATCGACAACGGACCAAAGACCATCAACCAGATCCGTCAGGAGGCAGTGAAAGTGAGTCAGTGGAGAGAACTGGAATTATGGCCTGTTCATCGCATCCTCTCTCCTTGCCGCCTCCTCAAAAGGAGGAGAGACCTTGGACCTTCTCATCCAATACAGTTGAGGAGGCGAGGAAAGAGAAATCGAGGAAAGACCAATTTGAGAATGAGCCTGTGTATATGACCATCTTAGTCAAAGTAGCATCTTTGAACCTGTGATGCCCTACCCGTGGTTTCTCAGGCCAAGCATTGCTACAGCAACCCTAGGTCTGTTTATAACTGGAGCTTCCTGACAACCCCACCAGGTCTCTTTTTTAAAAAGCAAGTCACACTTATTACACACCAGAGAAAATGTATTCTGAATGATCACATGCTTCCATTAGTAGATGTCTGGAGTTGCTCAGTGTATCTAAGCGTGATTGGCGGCAGAGAATTCGCATGGCTATATAGCTACAGCATCAAGAACCAACAAATAGGATGTATTTTTAGGACCTTTTTGAGCACTACTCACTGAAGTGTGTTTTTGTCTCCTCCCCAGGATTTGGGTGTTTTCATCCCAGCGACCATGGCTCAGGGAATGAGGATGGACTTCTTCCTGGAAGGCCCTTTTATGCCTAACCGGATGAAAATGGAGACTCTCGGGGGATTGGCTGACATGTTTGGACAAATGCCAGGTAGGCATGGGCATAGGTTTGTCTATCTGCTTGTCTAGGTCTCATCCGTTAACCACTAATTGTCTGCCAGCATGTTCGAAGGGATCATTTATCACATAATAAGTAGTTATTTGGGATGGAACGTGATTTTGTTGACCAGTGATTCTACCCAGTCTGACTAATGTAGTCTACTTCAAACACGTTCTGCGACTTAGAAAATGTGACAGCCAGATGTAAATTCTCACTCCTCCTCTAACCCGTCTCCTCAGGCGGTGGGATCGGGACGGGCCCAGGGGTCATTCAGGACAGGTTCTCTCCCACTCTGGGACGTCATCGCTCCAACCCTCTCTTCAACGTCAACGGACACAGTGGCCACAACACCGCCCCCCAACCACAGTCTCAGTTCGAAATGGGCGCCAACAAGCCTTTTATCAAGTCCAACCAGGTAATCTAGCAGCCTTGATTATTATCAAACTAGCAGTAAATAACTGGATCTGATTTAATTTGATTCAATGCAATTTTTTTATTTTTAAGAACAAGTGTTTTGGCATAATTTTAATGGTTTAGTCAATTTGCAGCGTGTATACACAACAGAGATTATCTGTCCTTTCTTCCTGCTTGTGGAAAGGAAACGTGTTCCCGCTAGTGCCACCTATTGATGTTTCTTGTCTCGTCTGTTTTAAAGGTGCAGAATCAGCATTTCCAGAACCAGAACCACCAGAGCCAGCAACAGCAGGTCCAGTCCAACAAGGACATGCCTCCACGTTTCAGCAAGAAGGGACAACTCAACCTAGAAGAGGTACAGTAACCCAACTCAGCACTAGTCTGGCTACTAGTGCTGAGCGATTAGTGCTTTATGAGGTCTGTTCGATTTATTTAAAAAATAATCCGTTTCGATAATAAAAAAATAACATTAACTGCACTATGCATTATGTGAGTTGAATGCTGTAACAACACAGAATAAAACAATTAATACAAGTCCCATGATGGTAGTGACTGCCCATGACAGTTTATCACTTATTAACCATCAGTTATTCACATTACTTTAATAAAATATTTCAATTGTGTATTACATTTGTTTTATTTTATGACTTTATCATCTCTATAGAGCTGCTGCCTATGTTGTCTGACAAAATCACTATTTTAGTAGGTCTTCAAAGTAAATAAGGCATACTTTTATGACTGCTGAATACCAATACCTCACGAAGCAACTGCTCTCTGTATCCCCTCTTGATCGCGTGTTCTTCTCTTACATAGCAGGCATAAAAGAAACACAGACCGAACAAGTAGCTGTGCAATGGATTGTGGTCATTGTGGTTAATTATCATATTTTCTGTGCTAAGTTATGTAGAACATTCGCCTGTTGTAAACTAAAACTCCCTACTACATCGCACAGTTCGGGCATGATCTGATTTATCTCTAGAGAAACTGCAGTGCATCTAGCATTGAGCTCACACAAAAACAAAACTGAATGAAATGGAATTCAAATAATTGAACCGACCTCTGTCAATTAGTTGTTTTAAATTAGTTGTTTTGAACACCGAAAAATAACCGACATTTCGGTTAATGGCTCAGCACTATTTGCCACATTCCTAGTGAGAATGAGGAAGAACCAGAGCACAAGTTAAACTCTATGGGCTGGTTTCCCTTACTGGATTAAAAAGCATTCTCATTGTAGAATTTCTATTGAGAGCGTGTAGTCCAGGACTAAATTTAATCTGTGTCCAGGAAACCAGCCCTAAACTTCTTATTGTAAAGGTGTTTTTGGTCTACTCAAAGCAGACTATAATCAGGGATGCAAACTTGTCACTTTTCGGCAATATTGGCCGTTTTGATCTCAAACTAGGTCATCCCCATGAATTGTGTAGATCCGTTAAACGTTTCAGGGGGGGGGGGATCCTGACAAGGTAGTCAGAGTGTATCACCCATTGAGCTATAAAAGAGAGGCCCGAACAGATCTTCTCCCTGTGTGATCATTAAATAGTGTTGTATGTTTCTCATATCAAAATGAATGACTGAGCACAGAATGCATCCCTACACAAATAGAATATCAGAGTTCAGAGCGTGATGTCAGATATGTCACGTCAGAATGAGTGCTTCATCCAATATCACGTCTGACAGCTGTGAGCAGCCAGCCGCATCCTCTAACCAGCCATTAGCATACTCAGCTGCTTCTCTTCGTTCTTTCTGCGCATCTCCCATCAGTTTTTAAATGTTATTTAGCCGTGATGGTGGGGTTTGTTACATTTGTTTAATTATTGGAGCGGTGCGAGCGAAGTGGCTACGTATCTTTGAATTTCGCCTGTAAGAACAGGCAGGCCAGTCTGACCAGGCCGAGTGCCACTGCCATAGAGGAAAAACGGAGCACAGTGACCGTCATGCTTGCGCCTTTACATCACTGAAAACCGCAAGTTTCTAGCCAAAACCACTGGAGCTACCTTCTCCCCTTTCTACCGCGAATTGGCACACATTTTATATAGTTTTCTAAACCATGTTGCGTGCTGTTTTTCAGACCACAAGTTTTTGGTTTGATAACAAACAACCTTGTTTAGTCATGTTAACTGGCTAGCTAGCAAACATGGTACCTTGGCTATGCACAAATTTGGATTGCACATGAAATACTCCAAGATGCTTCAAAGGTAGGATGCATGTGCCTAATCAATGTAATTCTAAGCTAAACTTGAATCAAATCTCTTTCTGGAGTTCCTTAAATTATGTATGGTGCCTAACGTAGAGGGAGTAAATTAGTGAGCGAGGGAGCATGTGTAGGCTGAGTGTGTAAAGTTGTCTGAAGAGTAGGCTAAAGATGGTTTCATATAGGCCTAGTATGTTTTCACCTTACTGCCACAATGAAAATGCAGATTTATATTCCTTACTACTACATTCATCCTGGACAATCACAGTTAGGCCTTTTGGATATGAGCAAATCAGCTATTTTCTGCAGTAGCCTTTCAGGTCTCGACATTAAAGCTTGTCCTCTTGTCCGGGACAAGTAACAAATAACTATCAAACAATTACTAAGATCAGAATTGAATAAGAGAGGCCAACATTGGAATAAAATTCTAATAAATTTTTCATGTGTATACGTAAAAACGACTACATGTCAAAGTGTAGGTGATATGCATGTTGGCTACAGCCTCATATCCAAACCGATGCCGACATGAGGGAGGCACCAGAAAATGTAGCCAAACATTAAGACTTTTAATTACATAAATATAGGATAAACGCCAGTCATGTTTGACAAATATAATGAAGGATAATTAACATGTCTAAAGGCTTGATTCTGTCGACATATTCGAGGCACGGTTCGTTCAGATCAAATGGTCACAAGACCGGAGAGTGCGCCGCACATCACCCACTTTAAATCTGAGCGGAGGTGGTCAGTATTTTGAAACTATTTAAAGGGAAGATTGCAGAATTAGGTTGCTGTTAAACATTCTGATTGGTTTCATCCTTCCAACTACAACTCCCGATACGACATATCACTTTTTATCCAAATTTGAACAAAGTCATGTCGGAAAAGTGACGTTTAAGAACACGAGTGAATACACAGCAGGAGTGTCCACATAATCAATCAATCAATCAATTTTATTTTATATAGCCCTTCGTACATCAGCTAATATCTCGAAGTGCTGTACAGAAACCCAGCCTAAAACCCCAAACAGCTAGTAATGCAGGTGTAGAAGCACGGTGGCTAGGAAAAACTCCCTAGAAAGGCCAAAACCTAGGAAGAAACCTAGAGAGGAACCAGGCTAAGACAGTGAAGACCCATTTCATACTGAGTCCTCATTGTTGAGAAATTTATTTTGGCACTGAATAAAGCCAAATTATCTGACCATATCTTGTGATTTCATTTTATTCTGTATCGGCTAAAAATATTTTTATGACTTATACAGCGCACAGGCTTCTAGCATAGCCCCTTTACACCCTTGCTGGCTTACCCCTTCTAGCTAACCACTAGCAGCCTTGAAAGACATCACTTATTAGCAGTTAAGCACATCAGCATTTCTCATATTGTTACACAAAATCAAGATAAACCTTTACCGTTATAGTACACATTGAACATCTATAACCAAACTGGCTAAAACTGTTATTGTCCGATGGTAGCTATAGCTAGCCACATGCTAACCTGAGTACTAACGTTACTAGCAGCAGTAACAGTAAATCCAGGTATAATGGCTAACACAAACATTGGCTACCATGATATACTGCATTTGACCATCCATTTCTGGAAAACATGCCGTGTTGATGAAGTTGTTGTAGCTTGTTTGCTTGCTAGCTAGCTAGCTAGCTAGCTTATTCCATCCCCAAACACAATGCTAGGTCCGAGTGGGCCAGTTCGTTTTGCATGTCCCGGTGCACTTAGATAGCTGGCTGTCTTTAGTTTTTTTATAATTACATTTACAATTACGTCATTTAACAGACGCTCTTATCCAGAGCGACTTACAAATTGGTGCATTCACTTTATGATAGCCAGTGGGACAACCACTGTATGGGGGTGGGGGAAGAAGGATTACTTTTATACTATTCCAGGTATTCCTTAAAGAGGTAGGGTTTCAAGTGTCTCCGGAAGGTGGTCAGTGACTCTGCTGTCCTGGCGTCGTGAGGGAGCTTGTTCCACCATTGGGGTGCCTATAATCTACTAGCAACATAACATTACAACTCTTTGGTCACTTTAGTACCTACTTACCCGATTCGCCTCCATCACTGAGGTATAATAAGAACGCACCAAAGCCACCGGCATGCTGTTCCTTTCTTGTCGTCAAAGCTGCAATGTATTTTTGGTATATGAGAAGTTTATATACTTTTTTAAATAAACTTTTTCATAAAGACAGTTTTTTATATGGAAAATAATCAATCTGTTGTTAGATTTGTGTAATTTATATTGTGCAACCTTTCCTTTTAACCTTGAACCTAATTGTTTAAAACGTGGACGTTTTATGTCATTTTCTGAAGCATGTCTTACCTTCAAAGTAGCCTAGCCAAAATACAACCATAGAAATGTTGAGGGAATTATTTTATAAACACTTAATATGCCATTGAAACCAGAATTGTTCTCATATTCTACTGGTTTTCAAATCAATGTTCCTTTTATTGTCCAGCAGACAAAGGCATAATCATAGTCATATTACAGTAGTAACCCATGCTAGTTGATGCAACTTTAGATCTCCCCTTTCTTAATTTCTAACAAATATTTTCATCTGTGTCACATGAAACCGCTCGGTGTGCTGTGCGCTTTTGAGAAGTGTTTTCCTGCTAGTTGCATTTTGGAACATTATCACACAGCCTACAGCCATGTGCCCATTGTTGAGTTTATAATATGACAAAATAAAACGTTTTAAGCAAAATGGTCAGATTTGTTCTGCCTTTTCTATTATACAGTAAAAAGTGTGAAGTTAAATTCAATGTGTTGTATTTATTAGAGGTGTGACTATCAGGAACAGGTTTTTGTGCAGCACACATGCAGAACGTATAGAAAACGGGAACAGGCATCCTTGGGAGGGGTGGCCGGGGCAAACCCTGTGGTATGACGATACTACTCAGTATCGTGATACTTGACATTGTTAGTAAAATGTTTGCGTGTTTCTGTGCTAACATCTTTTGTCACCTTTTTTTTGGCCCTCACCAGTTTGCATCCCTGTATGATCATGCCCTGTGACGATAAAAATACGTATTATTCTGAGGGAAAAAACCTACTGGCAGTCTCATCTCCTATTCCCTCCATCCTGCTCTCCTCTCCTATGCTACATCTCTCTACAACTGGTATCTGGTCTGTTGACTGATTATGAGATATGAGGGCATGATATTCTGATCTCTGCTGATCCCGTGTTGTAGATCAGCCTGAGACCAGCTCAGTCGTTCCTCCTGAATAAGAACCAGGTTCCCAAGCTGCAGCCCCAAATCCCCACCATGATCCCCCCCAGCGCCCAGCCCCCCCGCACCAACACCCCTCCATTGGGACAGGTAAGGGATCAGCAGAGCACACCCCTCACCTTTCACCTTTTTAACCCCCAGTGTTCAAACCAGGGTTGGGGTCGATTCCATTTCAATTCTTCACTAAAAAGCAATGGGAACTTCTTGAAATGGAATTGACCCCAACCCCGATTTCCAACTGGGGTTTTGAGGGCTTGCCCTGTTTGTTGTTCCAGTGTAGTTCATCACCTAGTCTTCCCCCTTCTCCCCCAGTCTCCACAGCTCGGCCTCAAAAGCAACCCCCCTCCCATTCATGAGAAACCTCAGAAGACCAGCAAGAAACCACCGCCGGCTAGGGAGGAGCTGCTGAAAATGACGGTATTAAGCTTTGTTATCATGATATACCATTGGCACGATACACCGCGCAACACTAAACAACGCTCACCTTTCATTCCTCCCCCTTTAGGAGACTGTTGTGACGGAGTACCTGAACAGCAAAAACATTAATGACGCTGTGAACGGTGTCAGAGAGATGAAGGCTCCCAAGCACTTCCTGCCGGAGATGCTGAGTAAGATCATTGTGGTGTCGCTGGACCGGTCAGACGAGGATAAGGAGCACGCCAGCACCCTCATACATACGCTACGCACAGAAGGCCTCGTCACCGGGGAGAACTTCATGCAGGTACACTACCGTTCAAAAGTTTGGGGTCACTTAGAAATGTCCTTGTTTTCGAAAGAAAATCATTTTTTTTGTCCATTTAAGTGTAGACATTGTTAATGTTGTAAATGGCTATTGTAGCTGGAAACGGCTGATTTCCTTATGGAATATCTACATAGGCGTACAGAGGCCCATTATCAGCAACCATCAGTCCTGTGTTCCAATGGCACGTTGTGTTTGCTAATCCAAGTTTATCATTTTAAAAGGCTAATTGATAATTAGAAAACCCTTTTGCAATTATGATAGCACAGCTGAAAACTGTTGTGCTGATTAAAGAAGCAATAAAACTGGCCTTCTTGAGACTTGAGTTTCTGGAGCATCAGCAATTGTGGGTTCGATTACAGGCTCGAAATGGCCAGAAACAAATAACTTTCTTCTGAAACTCGTCAGTCTATTCTTGTTCTGAGAAATGAAGGCTATTCCATGCGAGAAATTGCCAAGAAACTGAAGATCTCGTACAACGCTGTGTCCTACTCCCTTCACAGAACAGCGCAAACTGTCTCTAACCAGAATAGAAATAGGAGTGGGAGGCCCCGGTGCACAACTGAGCAAGAGGACAAATACATTAGTGTCTAGTTTGAGAAACAGACGCCTCACAGGTCCTCAACTGGCAGCTTCAGTAAATAGTACCCGCAAAACACCAGTCTCAATGTCAACAGTGAAGAGGCGACTCCGGGATGCTGACCTTCTAGGCAAAGTTGCAAAGAAAAAGCCATATCTCAGACTGGCCAATAAAAAGAAAATATTAAGATGGGCAAAAGAACACAGACACTGGACAGAGGAAGTTTGGAAAAAAGTGTTATGGACAGATGAATCGAAGTTTGAGGTGTTCGGATCACAAAGAAGAACATTTGTGAGATGCAGACCAAATGAAAAGATGCTGGAGGAGTGCTTGATGCCATCTGTCAAGCATGGTGGAGGCAATGTGATGGTCTGGGGGTGCTTTGGTGGTGGTAAAGTGGGAGATTTGTACAGGGTAAAGGGGATCTTGAAGAAGGAAGACTATCACTCCATTTTGCAACGCCATGCCATACCCTATGGACGGCGCTTGATTGGAGCCAATTTCCTCCTACAACAGGACAATGACCCAAAGCACAGCTCCAAACTATGCAATAACTATTTAGGGAAGAAGCAGTCTGCTGGTATTCTGTCTATAATGGAGTGGCCAGAACAGTCACCGGATCTCAACCCTATTAAGCTGTTGTGGGAGCAGCTCGACCGTATGGTATGTAAGAAGTGCCAATCCAACTTGTGGGAGGTGCTTCAGGAAGCATGGGGTGAAATCTCTTCAGATTACCTCAACAAATTGACAACTAGAATGCCAAAGGTCTGTAAGGCTGTAATTGCTGCAAATGGAGGATTCTTTGACGAAAGCAAAGTTTGAATTACACAATTATTATTTCAATTAAAAATCATTATTTCTAACCTTGTCAATGACTACATTTCCTATTCATTTTGCTATATTTCCATTTAATGTATGTTGTCATGGAAAACAGACATTTCTAAGTGACCCCAAACTTTTGAACGGTAGTGTATGTGTCTCTTCCATGCAATGTTTTTGACATTCATGTCAAATACTTTTGATGCGCTTGATATAGCTTTGTTTTCCTCTCACCAATGTCTTTTGCCTAACGTTATTTCTCTCTCTTCCTCCATCCTGGCTTCCAAGGCTTTCCTCAACGTGCTGGACCAGTGCCCTAAGATCGAGGTGGACGTGCCGCTTGTGAAATCCTACCTGGCCCAGTTTGCAGCCCGGGCCCTCATATCTGAGCTGGTGAGCGTGGCTGAGCTGGCCCACCCTCTGGAGAACGCAACCCACTTCCCCCTCTTCCTGCTCTGCCTGCAGCAGACTGCCAAGCTCAAGGACAAGGAGTGGCTCACTGACCTCTTCCAACAGAGCAAGGTCAACATGCAAAAGATGCTACCCGGTAGGTCGATAACCCTCCCTCCCCACATTCTCCCTCTTAAGGCGCTTTAGTGACTGAAAAGTAAGAATTTCACTGCGATGTTAAATTTGTCATGTGATGACGTCTCGTGATCATTATACTAAAGGCACTTGATATCACAGATGACCAACGAAAAAGACTGCTGATACTGTTCACATATTGTAATCATTAGAGACTGCGGCACATTCATCTTCCTTGTCAGTGATGCTATGGCTAATCTGACCTGTCTGTCCGTTCTGGTCCTCCAGAGATTGACCAGAACAAGGACCGCATGTTGGAGATCCTGGAGGGTAAGGGCCTGAGCTTCCTGTTCCCCCTGTTGAAGCTAGAAAAGGACCTGCTGCTGCAGATCAAGGCTGACCCCTCTCCGCAGGCCATCTACAAGTGGATCAAAGACAACATCTCCCCCAAGCTCCACACCGACAAGGGTTTTGTCAACATCCTCATGACCAGGTAGGTACTGAACCTCCAGGATGGAGACTACTTTTGAATTCCACTTTATTTAGACTGCTTATGGTTGAATAAAAGTATTCATTCAAGGCTTGAGACCAATATGACAGTGGCATCTGGACTGTACTTGTCACAATATAGAATCACCCTTTCAGTCTATTTTTGCACAATATTTAATGGACACCGGGGTGGGGGAAGACACAAATAAACTAATGGAATGTGGAAAATACACGAATGAATGCTTCCAAAAGTGTATCTATTTGACCATGCTCTTACTGTTTCTACCCACACTTCCCCTCTCCTCCCAGTTTCTTGCAGTACATCTCGGGGGAGCTGTGTTGTGTGGAGGAGGAGGAGGAGGGCAGCAGCAGTGGTGGAGAGGAGCAGGCGGCGGGGCCCTCCAAAGAGCAGCTGGACCAGGAGAAGCAGCTGCTGCTGGCCTTCAAACCCGTCATGCAGAAGTTCCTACACGACCAGCCCCAGCTGCAGGTCTCAGCCCTGTACGCCCTGCAGGTGCACTGCCACGCCAGCCACTTTCCCAAAGGTAGGTTTACTGCCACTTGCCAGGCTGTCATTGAAACTAATCATTTAGTGTCAACTTGGTGGAAACATATTAACTTTTGCTTCAGCTGTCAGTTTGAAGCTATTTGATAGAAGAATATCCTACTCTCATGTCCAAATACTATCTAGACTTCATTGCAACTGTATCTGCTGCTGCATACTGTGTGTAGTTGTCATAGTGTTGTGTGTATTTATTTCAGGCATGCTGCTGCGCTACTATGTCCACTTCTACGACATGGAGATCATTGAAGAAGAAGCCTTCCTTGCATGGAAAGAAGATATTACCCAAGAATTCCCTGGAAAGGGAAAAGCTTTATTCCAGGTAATTTTTTAAAAGAGAAATCTGTCAAATTTGACAAACTGATAGCTTTATACACTAAAACATGTGTACCCAGTCCTTTATTATTTTGTGAGTAAATCATGAAAAGTCTTTATGCTTGCTACCACAGTAGTTGGAAAGCATTTTGAAACTGAGTGAAACAGGGAGGTAGCCTACTACCTGAACTTGTCCAATAACAACACAGATTTTTGCTTAACATTCTGCTACACTGCCCAATTTAACATGACCCTGTATAATACTCTCCCCTGTTAGGTCAACAGTTGCTAACCCTCTATACCTCTCTCCCCTGTTAGGTCAACCAGTGGCTAACCTGGCTGGAAACAGCTGAGGAAGAGGAGTCAGAAGAAGAGGCCGACTGAGAAACCAACCAACCAGAACTGTCAGGCACCATAGAGTAGAGAAACATACCTTGACATACAGTACAGCTATCTACATATTACCACCCTCATCACCCCTTATTATTAAACTAACCACTACCAGAGACTGCTTATGTCCTGCAATATATAGCCAAGCATGTTATCATGGCATATGTGCTCTATATAGGCTACTGAAGCTGAGGCTGAGAAAGGCTGAGAAATGTCTTCCCTTTCACCTTTCTTTTAATGGTTGATTTGGTTTGGGTCCATGTCCCGTTTCTGCAATATGAATTTAATGTAGCCTATGGACTGACTCAAACCACATCTGTACTTTTTTGTTTTGCCACATTAACTAATTGAGTGACTAGTATTGCATTAACACTATGTGATATCAGTTGTTATCCCCTTTGAAGAAAAGGTTTGTATTTGACAGGCCATACAAAAAATGTCCAATCTAGAGAGCAAGTCAACAAAACCATGGTCTTTGTGTGCTTGGTCAACCGACGCTTGTCTGAAATCCATTTTCCAATTTTGTTTCAAACCAAAGTTCTCTTCAATGCCCTTTTGATGATAAGGAGACATGTTGCATTTTGTTTATGGGAATTATATTCTTCCCAAGCAAGGCTGTAGACTTAAGATACACACATACCCGAGTGGTTGCAATACTCCGTCATACTTCAATTGTTACATAAAATCATAAACTAAGTTAATCATTGGTGTGCTGCCGTAACGTTTCAAAAGTTTCCTGTGTTTTTACCTCTTAGATGGGCTTTGCGTTTCGTGCTGGAATACAGAAGGTTGTTTATTTAGAGAAATACCTATACAAGAAAGCCCAAGCAAATGCAGAAGTATATATATCCTGGTCTACTAACACAATACAACCCCTGGATTGGTCTTCCAATGAAGCTCGATCTGTTTTAATAGTGTGAACGTCTAAGAACGTAACACAAAATTAATTGGATACCTTTTGTTACCTCCCCATCCCTTTTGCCTGTAACGTTTGTCAAAGGTGGGGTACAGGAATATATTTTCCCCAGCATATTGAGTTTATAAATGTATACTGATATGTTTGATTTATTTCACAAATCAGACATTTAAGTGAATTCTATACTGTCTTTTAATTTGGCGAATGAAAGCTTACGTGAGAAAGTAATCTTGCTTTGTATAGCGAAAAAAGGCATACATGCTAACTTAAAAATTAATGAAATCATGAAATAAAATATTAACTTTGCCCAACAAGATTAGCCAATGTGCTCACAAACCATGTGTATGTAGAAAGCAATGGATTCTGTTCATGTATTCAAGTGATGAGTATTGTGCACCGATATTGCATAACCGTCAATAAAGTCCAATTCTTGAGCACTGACACATTTTTGTTATTTGCACTATTTTAATTCAAACTATTACACGTTTCTTTACAAATGGTGTTCCATTTTCTCATGATTAATTGTAGTTTCAACTTTTGCATGATAAGTTGACTCATCTTCACATTTTCCCCTTTGTAAATAGAAAAAGATAACAAACAAAAGCTTGTTGCAATATATCATTAGATCATAAAGAGGCTATTCTGAAGTGGGTTGTACCGCGTCAGTGTTGAACGATGTGTGTAATGCCGTCATTCCTCATCTGTTGGATCCAGAAGTATTCCAGTTTTCCTCCTCCGTGGCTGTCCAGCCTCGTTCTCCCATGCCGGGAGAACGCGGGGGCAGATACTCTGAACATGCCTCTCGCGGGGCATATACTCTGAACATGCTCTTGGGAAAAGGAAGCAGTCACAAAAGTGTCAACATTTAGTACTGTACATCTAAACTGAACGTGACTTGGAACAAAAATATATAGCGGGATGGAAAAACAACTTCACTGGGATTCTAGAAAAAAGAGTGCCAAGTTCGATAATGTGCTTGGTTACCTGGATGAGCTCCTGTCAGCATCCTCAGCCCCAGTCTCTGGTGTGGAGATTAAGACTGGGTCCCCTTCCTGAGAGAGAGCGGGGGGATAGAATAACCTTTGCACAAACCTCATCGCTTGACAGTGATGTTCTGTCAAATGGTAGTTTAAACCTTCTCACCATTAAGTTCCTGGGAGTGCCATCTTGGTTTTTCAGAATCTTCACCCTCTGGTCACTCCTTCATGCACAAGAAAAATCTCTTGATATTAGCTTGACACTGGGGAGAAATCAGTCAACACAAATCAAATGAACAACTAGTGAGTAAGTGAGGAATTTACCCCTGGCCTGACAATAACAGCTAGATGGCCCTATTGTCTGTCGTCATTCTGTTAACATCTCAACTACCTGAGAAAAGTAGGATTATTGCTGATACATTGGGTGCTGCAGAAGGGGTTGGAGTCAGGCTGTTCTGCCTCTGAGACTTGAGGTCCTCCTTAGCGCTGAAGATGTCTGCAAACGCCTGTTGTTTCTCCCTCCAGTTGAGAGACACTCGGCCATGCACTCCTGCCGCCTCTCCTCTGCCAGGCACTTCTCCTGGTCAGCTGGCATGTAAGGTTATGGTGTCCATGTTAGGACAGCCAGTCTCAGCAGGACTTGTATCAGTCTTTTCAGGTGTTGTACTATGGAGATAGATTAGTGTCAATAATGCACAAATGCAATGGGTTTCTCTCAGTTGGCTATCTCCATTGAACTAGAAATTCTTGGCAGAAGTTGTCATCACATCTGAACGCCAGAAAGACACAATGATCACAGGATAGCCATATGGCCACAAAGCAACAACATTGGAATGGCTACTCCAAATTAACCTCCAGTGAGTTTAAATGTGTAAAGCTTTCAATTGTAGCTTGTGTTGTTTGTTAGGCCAAGATGTATTTTTGATTACATGTTAATATGAAAAGATAGAGCTAGTTAGTAGTTAGCTTGCTTCGTCAACTACACTTCAGCAGTGGTCGAGTTGACGAGGCTACGGTAGTAGTTACGTTAATGTTAGCTAGTTATAACTGCAAAGAAAACGGATCATCGACCATGTGCAACCAAAGTTCACTATACAGAATCTTCGTCTCTGACTAGTGTGTAATTTAAAATGATATATTTCTAATAGGATGGTCCATGTATATCCTGGCCAGATGATATTCTAGCCATATTAAACAGGAAGAGACTGATAATAATTTCACTGCTCGTTATCTGCTTGACTTGATAATGGTAATCTAGCAAGCTAACGTTAACCCAGAGCCATCTAACGTATATAACTGCGTTAACCTAGTGGCTGTGCACATAACTAGCTAGATTCTGTAACTAGCATTTGAAGCTAGCTAGCTAATGCTACTGTAAGTTACTGTAACGGTAGGCTTGCTACTTGCTATTTAGCCAGCGTTAGTAAGGGTTTGTGTGTCTCTGTGAAAAAGATAACTAACCATTTATACACAGCATATTTACTTATAGGCTACTACTCATGTGAGCTTGATAGCTACTTCAATAGAGTGTGTGTAGGGGCCATGGAGGTGCAGCAGTGTGTGTTTGAAGACTGGTGACACTGTCCGGGGGGGGGGGGGGCGAAAGCTGGGAGAGTTCAAGGTGACTGTGGAAAGGGCCAGTCGCGGGGAGCAGCCCTGCCTACTTCTGCATGCACACAGCCATACAATGTCATTTAACTTTCTGCGGAGGATAAGTTGTGGTCTGTCCCAGTTGATCCCCCAGTGCTCTGAGACCAGTCTGTCTGTTTCACATGCTGGAGTATGACCTTGACGACCATATCAGCTCCAGGGCAGCCCAGCAACACCCTTCGTCTTCAGAGAAAAACTGTGAGTCTCAGCGGGACTCGGCTACTCAGACCAAGGTTATGTCCCAAATGGCAACCAATTCCATATACAGTGCACTACTTTTGACAAGGACCCACATTTTCATTTGGTAATATTTTTCATTTTCTTCCACCACCTCTCCTTCCACAAATAGGTCCCTCGTCTCCTGTGAGGTGAAACGTTCAGGGGTGAGTTTCCCAGAAGATTTATAGCATTACAATATTTGTTATTTAAGTCTATTGTATGCAATGGTTGTAAAATGATCTTAGTGCTACAGATGTAGGAAATGCAAACTTGTAGTGTATTTGAGTTTTAAAAAGACTTCTAAAGTTTGTCATTCCCACTTTGAAATTTCAGACTTGATTTGCCCTAACGAAAAATGTATCAATCCCTTTAAAAAATTCCATTAATTATAATCCACATAATAATTCACATTTGCTGATGCTGCAGGATTATTTTCCTGCTGTAGCAAACTGGCTCAAATTAAGATCCTACATCTGTATGAAACTTTCGGGAAAACTTGCCCCTGAAATTTGCACGTAGAAATGTAATGAATTGGGCCAACACGATTCCCTATACTACATGAAAGATATTCCCATATCTGTTCTATACATATCTATGCTACACAATACATTTCTATGTGAACATTTCGTGATGTCACACCCCCTTGAACAGGCCCCAGCATTTATATATCGCCATCAAATATTGATGTTTATCAACACAGTGCCAGTGGTTCAAACACATTTTCTTCATCAGTTCAGTTGTCATAACTCATGAAGCAGCCATAGCCCACACACACACATAACACCGGTTTAGTCATATTTGTTATATACTAGGTAGGTAAGTGAATTCACACAGATGTTTTATGTATTGGTGCCTATTAATAGGTGAGAGAACTATGTCAGCGTTAGTCTTCCCCGGTTTACCTGAGCTCTGAGTGATGGCTGAATTTAGACTGCTCCTACCTTAGTCTACAGTCGTGGTCAAAAGTTTGGAGAATGACACAAATATTAGTTTTCACAAAGTCTGCTGCCTCAGTTTTTATGATGGCAATTTGCATATACTCCAGAATGTAATGAAGAGTGATCAGATGAATTGCAATTAATTGCAAAGTCCCTCTTTGCCATGAAAATGAACTTAATCCCCCAAAAACATTTCCACTGCATTTCAGCCCTGCCACAAAAGGAGCAGCTGACATCATGTCAGTGATTCTCTCGTTAACACAGGTGAGAGTGTTGACGAGGACAAGGCTGGAGATCACTCTGTCA